CACACACACACACACACACACACACACGAACTCTACCTGTTCAGCCAGACATTTACGTAAATTACAGGCAGACAGTTTCTGATATGAGAACACAAACACATGAACCTGGTCTCTATCTTTCTCTAACAAACTCTGCACCGTACCTTGCACACACGTGCCACCCTGGAGTAGAGCACTTTCCCAGCAGCCCCTTCTGCCTCCTGAGCACGCTCAGTGAAGAACACGTAGACCTTATCATCTTCTTGGTTATCAGTTTCAGACAGTGGCGCTACCCGCACAAACTGGGCATCTGGTGAGAGAGAGGTGCACACACACACAAACACACACACACACAAACATGGGTAAAATTATAAATCAAATGTAATGCAAACCAACTCTACTGATACGCACACAACATGCATATCAGAATGTGCAAAAGATAAAGCAAAGGGATGATGGAGGTACAATTGACTTTTGAATGGCAGAGAAAGTCAACATGTATCTTGTTGTTATCAGTGGCAGACGTCAACACACTGGCCTGATAAAACACCAAGCGGGCGTGTAGGACATGGTTCCTGAGATGCTGATTTAGAGTAGAAGATATTCAGTTCAGTCCAGGATATTCAGTTTATAAAACAAAAATAAAAAGAAGGATGTTTGTTATTGTGATTGATTTGTATTTCCAAACAGCCAGTAAAAACTGAAGCATGTTAGAAGTGCACTGCATGTTTTAGTTTAAACACATAATGACTGTGCAAGGTCATTTTATCTTGTGTTTTTTAGGATACAAATATTTTCTGATTTCTAGCAGAAATCCTGACACTTCTGTTGTGACATTCACTAGATTCACTTGCAAAATTAAGGGGATAGAGGGTTTTTTTTAGTGCTTACTCTGCAGCCAGGTGGAGTCGTACTGCTCAGTGCGGATAACATGGCGGCTGCCGAGACTACGGAAGAAGGCAGAGTCCCTGCTCATGAAGTCTGAGGTGATCCCAGCATACAGTTCTCCATCTTCATACAAAAACAAAACATTTAGGTATTTTTACCAATAGAGAATGTTTTTGACAATCTGAATTTTTGGCTTATTCTAACATATTCTCACAGTGGTTCATAAGATTAGACTTTATTGGACCCATGGGTAAACATTTTCTTCTGATTCTCTAATTCCATCCATTTTTTTTTAATGACAAACTGGAAAAATTCTCACAGATATGTTGTAGCAGTTCCTGCCATAACTTGTAATTTGTTGTAAACTGATATAAGGAAACAGACATACCAACAACAGCGGAGGCTGTTTTCTGGAATGGATCGTAGGGGCATTTGCCCTTCCCACACTCTGTCTGGCTGTAGGAGAGAGTCTGGTGCTCTGACTGGCAAAGAAAACAGAGACAGAAGTCACTCAGACAGACTGGCAGACAAGAGAAAAAAAATGTTTGGGCCGGCTGACTGACTAACTAATTCTTTAATATATAAATTATTTTATTTATCCACTGATTCTGTCAAATAAGCAGGAAATACTTTTCACACACACACACACACACACACACACACACACACACACACACACACACACACACACACACACACACACACACACACACACACACACACACACACACACACACACACACACACACACACAAAGAGTGAGCGGCCAAGTGAGGGTAATTGGGCTAAGTGGAGGGATTTAAAAATGTGTGAAGTCCAGTCTTAAAACAGTCAGCACCACCAGCTCCTCTAAGCACCAAGTCTGAACCTCTGCTCTGATCTCACACACCCTTTCATGGGATTAGCTGTTAGCTGACACACACACACGCACACACACACACAAAGGCTGAAAGGCATGCATGCAACGTAAAAAAACACAGATCCAGGAATGCACATACCCACACACACAAAATCCAACATAGTCTCTGACCCCACAACTGGCACACACACACACTGAGGGAATTTAGAGCCATTAACCTATTTCTGACAGAATGATAACCCACATGTGTCTTAATGATGATAAATTACCATAAGGGAGACACTCTCAGGCTCTAGAATTACATTTATGTTATATTTGACACACAGATGTCAAATAAAAAATCTACAATGTCCAGTACCCCCCAAACTATAGCCTAAATGACAAAAGGAACACTGTGTATATTACAGACAGATGGCACAGAATAAACTAGGTAGATATATGGGCATAGGGGCAGACACCACACATATGATATTTCAGCTGCTGATAGGTTGGTGTATAAGGGCTGGTGCTGGGGAACACACACACACAGGAGGGTGGGTGGTTGGAACAGCTGTCTGTTCTGCAGTCAATTATACCTTTTGTATATTAATTTAAATTTGGTTTATATACATAGTCTTATTGGTCTTTTTCCCCCTGACATCACCTCACTGCTGTCTTTGAATGTGGGCTCTCATTGAACACATTCAAATTACTGGATGAAACTGCAGGTGCCAACTGTTTTAACTGAGCTCAGGAAAAATAGTTTCATGCACCTGCAACATGGAACAACAGACATAATCTAAAGCTCGATTCATTTTTATCCCTTGGGCAATTTAAGTTTTGAATCACATCTTTTTAATATCTTGCAAGCTATTTATTTAAAGAGCAGCTACAGCTGTGTGGTTATGGTTGGCAGGAGAGGCCAGTTCCATCCACTAAAAAATCATATTGCTCTAAAGTTATATTTGCAGGTGCAGTAGGTGAGGTAACAAAACATTATCCTTGAAAATATATTTTCCAATCTTCAAGTACAAGGTGAATATATAGTTGGAATATGAAAATCTGCCACGTCACACCCACAGTACGTGCATACATTTGTTCATGCTTTGATGGTGTGGTCCAGTTTTTCCTTCACTTATAGTGAAAATTATGTTTGATAGTATGGATGTTCTGAGTGTGGCTATTTGTAAACTGCCGCTAAAAGTTATTTTACATAAAGATTAAGAAACACCACATTGATCCAGTCATTCTCCTTCCAGTCACAGTGACAGAGGCACTACATTCTAGTTAAGCGGCAAAACAAAAGGATTATTTGTGTGTATACGTGTGTTTGTAGTTACCCGCTGGAAGACACTGGTAGCGACGAAAGCACAGCGAGGGTTGAAGGCCCCGGTGCCACATATGTAGAGATGAGTCTGATTAAAATGCTGCAGAACTCGCAGGAAGTTGGCACACTCCAACTGAGACAGAGAGACAAAAACAAGTTGAGACATAATGTAGATGCTGAATATTTCATGTCATTGTTTTATTACATATTTAAGGTATTGGTTTCCTTATCCATTTTGTCCTGCACCTGTCTGTTTTTTTGTCTGAATAAATGCAGCCATCCTGAGTCATGATATCCTCCCCAGCATCTCTCATGGTTATTGTTCTCAAATGAATCAGATTCTATCAAAATTCACTTCCGCTCTAGATTGTAATCTATCATGCAACTGTCTTGCTTAACTGTCAGACAGTTTTTCAGACAGTTCCTTGTGTGGTAGTACGCAGCAACTGATCTGTATCTGTGTAGGATTCTGGGTAAATATTTCTCCTCCCCTGTGTGAATTTAAAAGATGATGACCTGCCATTCATCCACGCATAGTTACTGCAGTACCTGTAAGTGTGTGTGTTTGTATGTGTGTGCAATGCGTCTTGAATCACCTCTGGATCCTTCCCAGCCATGAGACATTCCTGGACGCGGTCCGGACTGGCTGGCCAGTACAGCTGCAGTGAGCAAGAGAGATAAATTAAACAAAGAGGGGAGAAAAAGAGATTTTAAAAGTGTTTTTATGCTCAGGCAAAAATTTCTGATGAAAGGCATTTGCTTTTGGCATTGGCAGGTGCTTTACAAGGACGCGAAGCAGAGAGTGACAGCTATGTATGACTAATCTAGAAGAAAGAGGAGTTGAGAGGAAGAGGGAGACTTTAATGTTTGATGTCCAAACTGTGAGGCGTCCTCAGCGCAAAAGAATTTAAAAACCAAATGACTGGATGCCGGTGAGTCATGATGACGAGCCAAGCAGCAGTGACAACATGACTAAGTAATCCACTATGGATACAGATACAGGTTCACGTCAATGCAACAACCGTCAATACTTTGTATGAAGCAGATTTCTTTGTTGACTGAATCAGCACATCCCTGTTCACAGTACTTGTAAATGTAAACAAATTCAGGTATTTTTTTACTATTACTTAAGTGCTGACACCAACTCCAGCTGCTTCAATGGTTTTGTTACGACAAATGACTAAATGTTCACAGCATATTGCAAAATGTGACAGTTTTAACATTCAGAGCAATAATAAAATATGGCTGAAAAACTGCAGCCAAAGTTTGAAACAAGCTTCATTAACTAACATGTCAGACAACATATTTCGTCATATGATTTTATAATAATAAACGTAGACTATTTTATTTCTTCAAGCACATTAAAGTTTATCTATGTTACGACGATTTCAATGCAACAGGAGGGTTTGTTTAAATTGATTTGCATCCAAATTAAAATCATCAAAACAATTCAAAAAAAGTTTCACCATAATATTCCCATGTTCATTTTGGTTTGGCTAAAGTGTTGGATAATCTGTTTCGGTAAGAGAGTTTGCCCACACAGAAGCTTATATACATGATCCATGTCTTGTTGCCCATGTTCTTTCCATTGCATTGTATCTGGGTTCTTTGTCATGTGGATCAATAATCAAATTAATGTGTCAACAACACAATTCCTCTTATCTCTGTAATGCATGTGTGAGACAGGCAATGGAACCTGTCAAAAGTTATAAGAACGGAGGAGGTTGTTTCATTCATGGCTCAGGGGCAGACATGAAGATGTTAACATAATCAAGCCTTTTGTGGAGGCCTGAAACAAATTAGAGGCAAAACATTACAAGTGCCACATGTTGATCTACTTTTTTAAACATTCGAAATCACTGCGTTTGAATAAAATCCACAGGTTGTTTCTCAATCAGGTCCAATTTGCTTTGGGCCCATTTAGGTTTGCTTGCAGAGGATTGGGGTAAGACATGGAAAGATTCATTTGTAATTAGAAAATGGCCTACAGAGAGAGAGGGAGAGAGAGAGATGGAAGTGTGGCTTAGTGTCAGATGACAGCTGCATGACTAATCTAAATATTTCTCTGAGTCAGTCATTCCCTCAGAGACCACAATGGTGGAGCAGATTGAATCGATATGATAAGTGATCGTCACCGCGTATCTCCACATACCACACGAACAGCGATGTGTGGTTCTGACGGGGACGAAGGAACTTTAAATTGAAAACCTGTTTCAGCCAAATAAAAAGTCTGACACTACAACTGCAGAGCTCATTGTTAGTGTCACATCATCAGTGCAACAGAAAACCCTCAAGCACTTGTTTTGTTTTTTTCCTTTTCTTTTGCTTGAAATTGCTTTAATCAAGAAAATGTGACACCGGCTCATCAAATGTGATTAATAACAAACGATGATGCATTCAGGAAACAATTTCTGCAAAGCCAGTAATTGCTCCCTGATGTAGTCATTCCTGCAGCGCGCTGTGTGGAGTCGAGACCATCAGATTAGATTAGAGACCACGTTCCCCCTTATCTCCAAATACCAACTGACAGGAACACGGACCACCACTAGAGGATTCTCACCAGGTAAAAACTCTGGTTAATGGAAATGCACCCCTGTGTGAAAAGTATGCTGGCTGTCACTTTAATCAACAAATAAGGAGAATGTTGGTTTATGTATAAAGGGAATTAAAATAAATTTAAAAAAATTGTCAAAATGCACTTTGACTGTCAGTACCTGTGCTGAAAAAGAAAGACAGAAAACAGAAACAATGAGAGCAATGGAAATGAATACAGAAGGAATATGCAATGGAAGGCCACACACACACTTAAACCCCTGGTGACCCTTTGTGAAATGTGGGTTTCCAACTGAAGACTCACTCACAAGGAATTTCGTGAGAGCTGTTGGCCTGATCAAAGAAAAAAAATGAGTGATGACGACACCGTCACCTTCAGCTCTCAGCCCTGCAATGAAGGAGCGGGTTACACATCTCTCTGTGCCAAAATTGGTTTCACTGCATCGGCTAACATTGTGGATAAATACACTATAATTGTGTGTTAAATAAGTTGTGAGAAGATTAAACAAATGAAAGACGGCATCACTTGGTCTCTTGGAGAAGTGCTGATAAGAAACCGCGGATGACGGTAGCAGAGAAAATAAACAGAAATGCAGAGAACATGGCACCGTGAGTGGTTTTAACACCACAAGGGAAAAAACTGCATATGAGCTGGAACAGTATAAACAGACTATAAATACTGTATGTACAAATATATAACTTAACAGCCTGCACAGAGCTGAGTTATGAGTTGTCTATGACTATCTATCCTTTTGTTGGCGGCCTGCCTGGCTGAGTGGGTGGCTGGCCAGCTTGACTACTGTCTCTCTGTCTGTCTCGCTGTCTGTTTGTCTGCTTCCTCACCTGTTTGGCTCTCTGATAGCGTGTGTGTACTTCTGACTGATGAGGGTATTGATTTGATCAGACAGAGTTCAGTCATTAAAAGGCTGTCCTTGCTGCGACCCTGAACTAAACCTGGCTGATAAACCATAATTGTGTCTGTCTGCATATCGTGTTAAAGCTGCACAAACTCCAAAAGACCTGTAACCCTTTAACAAATCGCCACTGTTTAAGTTTTTCGTCATGTTGAATTAAACTAATATCCACCTAAATCTTCCTGTGCATCAACAATACTGGTGTCAGACATGTTTAGTCGCACCTTGTCGATGTGTATGATGCAGACTCTGGTGCTTGGCAACATGAATATTATTGCTCAAACTCATTAGGATGACTGATTTTCACAGGAGGGAACAGCTCAATCAGGAAAAGGCAGAGTTGACAGGACACTTCCTGCCTCAGGGTTTTAAGCCTCATTTCATTTAGCTTCATATTATTGATGCCATATAAAACTCCTGGTCTTTAAAATGTTGGTATGAAAAGAAAATAACTGATTCATTAAATCATTAAAGCCAAATTGTAAATACAGAAATTTAAATATTGTATTTAAAAGTAGCTGTGTTTTCTGATTATTACCCACAACAATGAGGTTATGTCTTCACCTTTGTCCCTGTAGGTTTCTATGTAAGATTGTATCTAAGTTTGTTTGTTTGATTGTAGGCAAGATGATACAAATACAACTCAAACAAATTCAACGAAACCTGGTGGAAAGGAAGCAGTATGGGTCAGGGAAGAACCCTCTAAATTTTGGTATGGATCCAGACATTGCAAGATGACATAGAGTGTTCTTCATTATTTTCACAATATTCCCAAGGAATAATTTATGGACCTTGATTTAAAAAATCAGGCACATTTAGAGGACTGATATCTATTAGTGTGTGAAATCCGGTGCATCTTGATTGAATTTAAGGGAACCACTGGGCCTTGGTGGAGGTATGCGTTCTACTGAGTGCCATTCTGGTTCAAAAATGTGGAGGTGAACTAGTACTGTTTTTGTAATTGAATACAAATTTCAGATGTTCGGCAGTGGGAATGTGAAAAATGTGAAGAAAATACCATGTTGAAAGGAACTATTTACCACTCAGGGTTTCCACTTTTTCAGACAACACATTAGCCTTTAGTTCTTAAGCTAACAAAGACTTGTTTGGCTTCTGACAGTTTGAATCTACCGTCATTTCACTGTGTGTATTTCATGTGTATCTCCACACATGCATCAACTTCCATGTGTGTGTCTGCAGTATGTCTGTATCGTACCTTGCCTGAGATGGTATGTGAATGTGTGTGTGTGTATGTGTATGTGTATGTGTGTGTGTGTGTGTGTGTGTGTGTGTGTGTGTGTGTGTGTGTGTGTTTGTGCGTGCATCCTCCACTTCTAACCTTGCGTGGGTTCTGTGTTATGTCGTCCAGACTGGTAGACAGTAGGTTATCTTTCATGGCCACGTACAGACGCCTCCCATCTTCGTCGGGCAACAGGGAGTGCAGGTCTCCAGCCACTAGGGGCAGCATCAGCAGGCGGCCATTCTGGATCAGCTCTGACAAAGGAGGAGAGGACAGGTGAGTTTGATTTTTGTTAGCTCTTTTGTTTTTCCCCAAACTATGTTAATTAAATAAATCAATAATAACTTAACTTCCTTCAACAACGAAACAAACAAATAATCAATTAGCATATCATTGGATAACAAAATCCAACAGCGAGCCCGTCAACCTCTAAAGCTCACTTATGACCATATTTTGGTTGTTGTGAAAGTTATGATAATCAGCCAAGCTACCATCAAGACTTTACATAAAGATAGACGAAATGATTGCTCCCCAACAGACAAGCCAAAGCACCTAGTGGCAGGATGCAGTATAGATCATAAACCCTGCCTCATCCATGTTGTCAGACATGGACCACACTAAAAAGTCACATTACACATCGAATAAATCTTTCTTACAGATGGTTTCTGTCATTTTAGGTATTTCTTATCACACTGATGTTCAAGTGTTAATTTTTCTAGTAAGTTTGACTTTAATTAGTTTTAATTTAGTTTTAAACACAGTCATGGGTATGAGGAACAATATATACAAAATCGAAAAAAATACACATAACAAATGCCATCTCTCAGCATCTGTTACTTAGATAAATGGTCCGTTTTTGAGGACGACAAACAATCAGATAAACTGACACACACATTCCCACATATCTATCACACACGCACACTCACACACACTGACACTTGTCAGTTTTTCGTCTCCAGCCTCATTCTTCTTATCACACTGGATGCTCCGGTCAAACTAAATAATCTGCAACATATCTTCTGGTGAAAAACAAACACAGACACTCACACCGAACCTGCAACTACATCTCCAGACAGATTTTGTGATAACGTGATTATGAAAGTACGAGTAACAAGCGCACACATTTCATTTTTTTTAAACTATTACACCCTCGCACCATGTAAACTATGAAAAATATGGTGCAGGAGATTGGCCGATAGCTGAGCAAGGACATGAATCGCACGTCCGTCTGTCTTGTGTTAACTTTCATTTTTGAACTGCTGAGTGTTCTTCAGTGGACTGGACTTGGCAACGGCTCACAAAGCTGAAAGCATAAACATATAGGCTCTGAAGCAGCATCAGGCATAACTTCATACACTGGCAGCTCCAAGTACTGGTGAGAGGCAGAAAGAGCTTATAAAAACAGTTTGAACGTCAAAACCAAATAAATTTGGCTCGTAGTGTTGGTAAACTACACACAGTATGCTGTTGTTGAGAAACCTGGCCACTCTACACTGCTTTTATACCAAATAATACCAAAGGGACAAGAAGCAGTGAAGTAAATTTTCCTGTGTGTATAAACCACACCCCAAGGACAAATGGGATAAATGAGAAAATGCAGCCTCTAATTTACATATATGACGCCCAATGAAGCTTAAGCTTAAAAGATTTGAAGAAGTAAAAGATTTATCGTCTTCCACTGTTGCAGAAAACTAATTCATATGAAAGGAAATAGCTTGTATAGTTTTGTAATGTACATATGGCAGCCACCCATGTGCTGCTTCCACCTCCACTTCTCAAATACACAGCGTGTTTCTTCATGCAGCTGAATCTGAACTGACAGAAAGACCTTAATTGTATCACACAGAATATAATCTGTTTAATAAGCCTTACAGTATTACGACGGTGTGACTTTCTAGCTTGGATGGTTTCTGTACAAATTGATCCCTCAGTTCACTCATTCATGCTGAAGAAAACAATCTTTTTCTTTAAATTCACTTCATTTTTGGTTCTTTAGTTTGTACAGACTGGGCTGCTGACAAATCAGTCTCCTAAAAACTTCAACGCAATCTGATAACGTTAAAACCTGTTGAGCTTCTTGAAATATTTGTTTGACACTGTCTGTTTTGTTGCATTCTTAAGTTTAATTTAAGATGAAATTACAAAGAAATGCAGATCTGAGCTGTTGGTAACATGGCACCAGGGTGAAAACACTATTTCTTCTTCTACTTCTTTAATTTGGCAGTCTTTTCTGGCGCTACGATTGAACCTCCAGCCATCTAAAATTGTTCAGTCACCACTGAGTTTGAAAAGTGCGTCAAGCAAAGGTTATTAAGGTGTGACCGCTATAACATTGTCACTGGGCTCGAGACGCATTGGTTTCGAGTGCATTGCTGATGAAATAAAACAGAAAAGCAAACTCCTCCTCTGGCAATGGGAGATGAGTCACTCACCTTAGCAGGTTGTCCTGAATTTAAAAAAACACTTACTAATGTCTACCTAGTAATTTTGGTACCCCCCCCCCCAAAAAAAAAGCAAACATATGTCCAATTAACTCTGCTACGTCTATGTGGCTGACCCTTAATCCTTACATTTTCCCCAACAGTGTTCTGTGAAAAACACGTGGCTTACATCTAAAACAGCAGCAGACTACAGCAGATGTGGGATCTTAGCAAAAAAGTGATGAATGTCTCTAAAGAACCTTCAACACTCTGCTGTATCTGTTCTTTATATGTTACAGTATGCATCATGTTAGTTGGCATGTGGGTTTAATAGAAAGAAGGGGAAGGGAGTCACAAAGACTTACAAAAAGATGAGGAGACTTATAGGCAGATATGATGTGTGGAGGAGTGAACACCAAGAGGATGAGAGGAGAAAGACAAAAACTTGTTGATAGACAGGAAGAGAAGTGGGACGCTGCTGAGATGCCTTAGATCGATCCGAAAGACTGAGAAAGATATGAGAGGAAATCACCGAGAAAGAGCATGAAATGATGACAGGCTGGATATTAAAATGCAAGGATAGATGAAGAGATACAAGGATCAGACTGGGGTGAAAGAAAGGTCATATTCACTCTGAGCATATCTGAAGCTCAAACGAACACTTGTTTGATCAAGACCATTCATGCACTGCTACAAAATAATCACAAAGAACTGCAGAGGAAGCAACTTCGCAAACTTTTCCTCTAACATAACTACAGCGCTCTTTGTTCACATTGACAGTATCATCTACAGAAACTACAGGAAACATCCCCACAATACAAGGTTTGGGAGGAATGGATGATGCTCTGACAGCTCCCGGTGCTTTCTAATCAAACAGAGCCTTAAATAATAAATGAATTCCTTTCAACAGTCTTCCACAAGCATAACGTTAAAACAAATATGGAAAAGTTAATGAAGTCGTAATGGCTCTTAGATGATGAATCCCAAGAAAACTTTTGTTGCATTGAAGTAACTGGGAAAACCCTTTTTTTTCACAGTTAAATATGATGACTCCTGGAATCCATCTGTGGAAGTATTCTGGGCACGTCCAAGTAGGAGGAAACCCTAGAGCAGACCCAGAGCATACTGGAGGGATTACATATTCTGCCTGATCTGGAAAAACCTTGGCATCTCCCAGCATGAACTGTAAGATGTGGCTGGGTAGAGGTACATCTGAGCCACGTGTTTCATCCTGCACCTACCATGACCCCGTAGTGAATCAAAATGCATTACAGAATGTCAGTGATTGTGTAATGCCTTTTCAGTGTCGACATTGATTGTGTAGTATCTCTGTTGTTACATTCAGTACAGAAAACTGAAGATAAAGTGTCAATACACAGCTCTGAACTGTACCAGCTCTGTGATTATTATCTTTTTAAATGACCACGACCAAAAACAATAACCAAGAATCCTCAGACTACGATACTTCACGACATTTTTGCTGCATGGAACTCTTCATGTATTATACTCAGGCATGACAGGTGCTGCCTGCTCACACCATTTCAGCTCCACATAGTTGCACAAATATGAATATTCTCGCTCTAGTAACTTCATTCATGCATGTTGCAGCCTGAAGTTCATATTAAGCAGTTTCTTTGTGAGCAAAGACAAAGAGAGTGCAGAGAAGTTCATCATGGTTAAATACATTTACAGAAACATGAACAACGTGTCTAACATATCTAACACGGCAGGATGACAGGTTTCCACAACTCGGCCCAATTAACAAGCTCCATGCTGTGAGCCCATGTGACTTTTTACAGTTCTTGCCTGGTAATTATATGATTTAAAAAAGACAATTTCCTGTTGGTTTGTTTGTTTGCCAGCATGATTACGTAAAAACTGCAAAATGGATTTCCATGAAATTTAGTTGAAAGATGAGACAAGGGCCAAAAAATAAATAATAAAATATATTTCCAGGAATTGATTTTCTATCACTTTTTAACATTGTGAGAGTTTTTGTTTTTACATCTTACATCAATTACACAAGAAATAATTCATGGATCTTGATGGAGAAAAGATCAGGCATGTTTGTGTGCAACTTGGTGCAGCTTGATTTAATTTAAGGGAACTACTGGGCCTTTGTTTAGGTATGCACTCAACTTAGTGCCATTCAGGTTGTTTGTCATCAGGATTACACAAAAACTGCAGAACAGATTTAAACAAAACTTGGTTGAAATATGGGACATGGGCCAAGTACAATGCTATTACTGTAAACCTTGGAATGGATCCAGACAAAATCTCTTCTCTTTGACATTCAATTTTCACTGATTTCACAGGGTAAAATTCATGGATCTTGATGAATTAAATCTGAAAGAACATATTCAGGGAAGTCTAATCTATGAATGTGTGTAGCTTGATTGAATTTAAGGGGACTTTTGGGCCTTGGCCTTCTTTGTTGACTATGATCACTGTATTGCATAGCTGCATGCTTTTAAAAACTTAACACCTTTATTTTTCACTGTGCACATCAACTATAAACTAAACGAGAGATCCTGCATAGAAGAGCACAGACAGATAAAGTCAAAGATATATGGGGTGGGGGGGGTGGGGGAAGAGGAGTGTCAGGGAGACAATATGAGAAAAACGTCTCAAAGTGACAACAAGATGAAAATGGTGTGATGGGAGATGACAGTTAACTAGATGAGAATGGGAAAAATGTCAAAACATGACACGATGATAGACAGATGATGAGAGGAGGGGGGGAGGAGATCACAGAGGAAGAAATCCTGATGGAAGAAATGAATAAATATTGATGGATGATGATGAGGATGAGCGGGAAGAAAAGAAATGAGGAA